TAATTTTGAAACATAGATTGCGATAGCCCTGGTGTTAGACTTCATTTCTGAAGATGACGATGTTAAGTTTGAATGGTCATTTAGAAATTTGCCATTTTGGTGTGTGTTTTCAGACACGCTGAAAGATCATCAGGATATTCTTTTATCAGTAATCATACTGACAACCACACGATTTATGATCGGTTCATATACACTGCTTCTTGATCAAAATAAAATTAGGGTGGAAAACAACATGAAAAAGCCCTCACTTTGCTCAAAGTGCTCTCTATGTCCATAAAGTAGTGATTCATCCTGATACAACCTGGTGCATCAGCTCAGACTCCCCAAGTTAAACTTGGGCCTGCAACACCTGATTTGCATCAAGTGCCTTCTCTTGTAACGTATCTCAGGTGCACCCAGTGTTTCTGCAGTTACACAGCTGGCTTTCAGGAAAGCAGAGCTACTCTGATTATACAGTTTCTTACATTTTTAAAACAGATTATCTCCCTTGGCAAGATTGTTTTAAAATGTAACTTGAACTCCTAAGTATTAAAACGTCCACATATAATCCCCTACAATAGTGGGCTACACTGTCAAAGCTTCTGATTATCGGTAACTTCTACTGAAACAAATCATTTTAGTCTAAAAGCTTGAACATTTTAGCCATAAGCTTCTCTAATGAGCATGCAGGATCTGAGTCAGAGAAGTTTCCTACAGCACAGGCAAAGAGAAACTTCAGATACATAGTACAACATCTGCTGCCTTTTCCCAGGGTTGAAAATGCTGAGCTCCCACCCTGGTTCAAGTGAAATCGTTGCTACTCATACCCAAAGGTAAATGCATCAGCTTTCTTCTGAACCATCCCTGTGACAGAGGAACAGCAGATTATGCTTTCGCAGTCGTAAGACCTCCATCTCTGTCATCTGAAACAGAGTGCCAACAGGTTAAAACAAAAGGGAACTCTTTAAAGAAACATAAAGCCTTGTTGAGTAATAAAAATCATACTACAGAAATGAAAATAAGATGTTTTCTGGAACTGTGGGTTTCAATGTCACATGAATGGAAAACCACTTTATTCCTCTCTAAAATGCAGGACAAGTACGGCAAGGTAATGAATTTTTCCACCTTGTCTTAAACATTCAGAGACAGAGAATACTAATGAAAAAAGCACGCTTCATCCTCCTCCTTCACCTTTTGTCCTAGCTAGTGGCAGTAAACCTGTATTATTATGGCCAGGAAAGACCAAGGGGAGGGACAGGGACCAGAAAAAAAGAAATATGAAGGGAAATAAATTCAGACTACCACATAGGGGGTCTGCTCAGATTAAAACAGACAGTATTTTTGAAAGTACTATATATATGCACCGTTTCAGGTCAAACCGTCCTGATTTCAACGAGACATCAGTTTTTATTTCTAAACTTCCAGTTTAAAATCAGATTGTGTAAATTTCCAATTTTTAATATAAATGAATAAATAAATGCAAGCTGCTGATTTTCCACCAAAAAACAAAGGAACAAAACCGAGTATTTTCTTTGGTAAGGATTTGGTGTGCTTTGTCATAAAGCAGTCTAACTGCAAACACAACCTGCAATCAATTTATTTAAGATGAGCCAATACATCGCTGACATTTTCAGTAAGAAATCTATCCATATACTATTCACACAGACATTACTCAATCAAGCATGCTCTTCTATGCAGCCAATTTCTTTCTGTGTCTCTGCTCCAGTGACTGATTGAGAAATTAGTCTCAGCAAATGAGATCATTATTACTCGCTGTACCTGCACCCATCTAGGAACATCTGAGATGAGACAGACTGTTCAAATCCGTCTTCCCCAACAGTTAATTCCTAACAATAATTGAATGTTCTACTGCAGAACAGAAATGTGCTCTGTTCTATCCTGCCATTTAAGAATAAGCCTTAAGATTTCACTCATCACAAAAGTGAATTATTGCATATTTTGCCAAAAGCAAAAAAGGTAATACTGTGCATTAAAAAAATAAAAATAAAAAGGCAAGTTATGCATAGTGCAGTAAGTGATCAGTACTTTGCTACTGTCAAGTCACTGCCTACTCACACAAGCTGACAGTTTTGTAAGAAAGTGTAAAAAAACCTATTGCGTTTATCATCATGACCACTTAACTACTGCACTTCCTCATTTGGAGAAATTTGGCTGTTGAAGACTGATTTGGTAACTTGCTTGAACATGTAAATACTCACCTGAATATGATCGCAAATCCTTGAAGAATACATTTTATTTCCATCTAGAGTCCTATACCTTTTTATTCTCCACTTGATTCCAAGTTTCTTTTTCTGTTAGTATGATCACTACCTCAGAAATAATAATCAAGCCTCAAACCATTAAAGAGCAAAATACAAATTTGCTTGAGGATATTAATAGAGACATTCCTAAGTTACTGCACAAGCAAATTTGATGTCTTTATTTGTAGCTCACATCATCTGGAAAAATAATTTGAAAAATGCTATTTGTTTCCATTGTCACTATAGTCACCTGTCAGTCCAATCCTGCAGGTCTCTAAGCAAACCTTACAGAGACATCAGAATCTATAGGAGGTTAACAGATCAAAATACTAAAGCAACAAACGGAGCAATAATAAGGGTTCTCCCTGCTCTCATGGCTTAACAGCTGTCTAAAATCAAAGTTCTATATGGTGCTAACTGGCATGACTTCTGCTGTTCTCCTCAAAACCTGTGTATGGAAAATTTTATTTTCTTGGAACTCCACTTTCCTATCTCATAGGACAAAGTAGGCATGCTTTAATAACGTTATTTCAATCCACTTGAAAAGCCCTCTGAATTCTTACCGAAACACTCTACTCTCTTTGAGGCAAGATTTTTGTTTTATTTAAAATAGTAAACCTTATCTAATTAAGCGCAGTGTTAGGATGTTAACCAACATACACAGGAGTCCACTACGCACACACGCTAATTCATACTAGCTGAAGCCGAGACCCCAGCTGCGCGGTCACCCCTATAGGCAGTGCCTAATGCCACCCTCCCATCCGTCTTCATTCCCAAGTGTCACGCCTGCAACCTAACTCACTGGTAGTGGGCTTACCCGGGGTGGTGGGGGATCCACTATTTATCCTCATTAAGAACCAAGTGGAAGGTGGCAACCAGTGTTTAACGTTAAGACCGGCTTCAAATTTCATTATCAACACGAAGATGGTTTCCCATTTCCCTTAGAAACCCATCTAGGTAGTCAAGGCATTCATCACAGTGCAAAGCAAAACAAACCCACAATTTTAGCACTGGACTTCATCTAGCAGGACTTATGAGTTGCACCCTCCTTGGCTGCTGCACTGCTCAGCCATACTGTTTCACCAGTTTTCCAGTTTCACCTTCAGCTTTCCTTAGAGGTATCTTCCTTGACTGAAACATACATCACTGAAAAGACAGGGCTCACCTTCAGTACTGTCGAGTTCATCAACAGAATGAAAAGAATGGATTTACTGCCTAATGAAATAAGCAGGGGCTTGGGTTTCCAAAATATAGCCTAAAGGTAAAAGATTGCCCCCAAAAATGGGACTATTTGATTATTCCCACATTTGTTTTCAAGACTAACCCAGGACAGTTTAGGCATAAGCACCTAACCTAATTCAAGAACTACATTCAGTGAATGGAAACACATGATGGTTACCAACCCCTCCAAGAACAGAATTTCTTAAAAAAAAACCCCCAAAACTCTGTTTATCAGCAGCCAAGTACAATCTTACATATACGCCCCAACACTCAGTCACAACATAGCGATGCGCTTTAAATACGGACAAATTACTCATGTAACATAAGTCACCTTCTCCCTGGCAAATTCCACTCTGAAAGCTAAATATATACTGCCTGTCTTTGTACGCCAAGGCATCCAGCCAGCTGGTGCAGAGAGGAAAGCAAACCAGCTTACGTTTTGCACCAGAGAGGTAAGGAAAAAAAAAGACAGAGAACAAGGGAGATACAAGATCAGCTATTTTTGTTTTGCAAACTAGTCAGAACTTGCACTTCTTAATGTCGCATGAGGATTGACAACTAATACACGCGAACAGACAGGGTGAGATTTTTGAGCACTACAGACCCACTTAAAATCGCCCAAATACCATATCGCGGATTAAAATTAATGGGCAAAAAGATGTAACATTTACTCAATGCTCTGGTTTTCAACTTTTAGAGAGTTCTTAATTTATTAGTTATAGCTTGTTTTTGTTGGAGAGGGTTCAGAAAAGGCTGCGAGATTTTTCTAAGCGTCAGCTTAAGAAATAGTTGTAAGCATTTTTAAATGCCAGCTTAAGAAATGTATAAATAAAATTCAACATTCAGACCTCTAAACTTGGAGAGACATGCTCAGAACAGGAAATGATAGTTTGTTAATAAAGAAAGGTAAATCATTCTCTAGGCTTCCGGTGGGAAACTTGGCAGCGAAAGGATTTTGACCTCAGTGGAAGGTAACTGCCACAAACGACAAATCAAGCAACTTTCTTCCTACAAGTGAGGCAAATGTTTGACATAAGGCTGGACTGCATTCAGATCTATCATTCCCTGTGGCATATTCTTCTACTTTTAACAAATAATCCTGCAAGCTCTTGGCACTGACCATATTAATGTTCTCTTTTTGTTTTCCCCCCCTCTCTCCGAGTAAAGCTGCACAAGCCTAACATTTTTTGTGAATGATTACTTATTTCCTATTTGAAGCACAAAAGCTCATCACTTATAGAGTAGGTCAAGCTTTCACTGCCTATTAGTCCTAGTCTGGAATGAATTAATGCGTTTTCCTATGTTCATTTTCCTTTTCTGTTGTAGGAACAGCATACAGGACATTTGTGCAAAGGAAGCAAAAACCCTGCATTATTTTCAGGTGAGGTAGTAAACAATAACAAAAAATTACACTTAAAAATTCTATTTTCCTTTCCATGTTAGACTCACTGACTATGCCACTGCCAAGTTTGCGATTAGAAGTACCAGTTTTCTCAACGTAGAACAATAAATGGGGGGAAAAAATGACAAGTAGCCCAGTTTAATTTCAAACGTTAATATATTTTCTATTTTATAGTGAACATATGCATCGTTCACCCCTTATTTGCAGCAACTATGACATCCTCATAAAAAGGGGTGACATTTGTAAGATGCCTCTTAAAATAAATATTTCTTTTTATAAAATAATAAAACTTCAAATAAATATTCTTTACACTAAACAATATGTTGAAAAAATTAGAAAATAAAGGCTGAATTTTACTGTAACTGTACAATATACATGAAGTCCAAAGGGAAATCAGAGGCTTGTAATATAAGGTTTCCGTAAGACAAAATACAATCTAAAAACATACTGATTGATTCACATTCTTCCGAATGTACAACATATTAGTATAATATTTTGTGACTGTGCCATGTCTTATGACACCACTTATTTTTCACAGTTGAAAATATTATTGTATATACAAAAATATAGCACATTATCTCTGGCAGAAAACAATGAAAAAAAGGAGTCATTTGCTAATTTACAAATTTTGCAAGTACTATTCACAAACAACAGAGTTGCCTAGGAGTGTCTGTGTTGCTTTAGCTTATGCAATATGTGGGTCACAATGTACAGCATCCCATTTTTTTTGTTTTCTTTCTCCTGTATCCCACTAGCTGGATTCTAACAAGCGTATCAGTTAAGATGGCACACACAGAGAAAAAAGCACGTCACTGCAAACAGCATGGTATATCCCCAACCCTTCTACTACAGTGCCAAGACCATAGCTGCTTAGTTGGTTGCATATGTACGTTAAGATAATCCTCGCCACTCTAGTATTTCTGATTAGTGATGCTATGTTGGCTTTTCAAAGTTCCTGGGGGGGACGCTGGGAACTTTGCAGCAAACGGTGTTGGAGTGTTTACAGCGGCACCCAGGCCGATTTACCCGGTCGTAACAGCCCTGGCACAACTTAAGGCAACCCTTGGCTGGCAGGTAACACCACAAGCAAGGCAGAAAGAGGGACACCACACCCATGGCGGACCACCTGCTGCAGCAATGCGACTGGCTGCAGGAGCAGGGGTTGTCAGCACAGTTGTCCTCGTCGTCGTTAGAGCAGTGGTAGAAGAGGCCCTTCACGCAACAAACGCAAGTCCCGTAGTCGACCACGTTCTGGGCTGAGCAAAGACACTGCTTGTCACAGATCCAGCACGACGGGAGGGTCCTCGGGTAAGTGCACTCCTTACACTTACACTTCCCACAGTCCTCACACCGGTAGCTGTGCGCTCCCAAGTCGTCTCTGCTCAGCGGCTTCAGCTCGCTTGACTTGAGCTCAGACTTGGGCTGCATTCGGACTATCCCGTCAGCAACTGGCCCCGAAGACGATGACCCTAGAAGTCTCTGTTCAGAGGAATTACTGCTCGTACTCGTCCTTGTACTGCTCCGAGAACCTGTGCTGACCGTGCTGATGGATCGGGACAGGGGCGCCCGAGGAGAGGCGTGCGCTTGCGTGTGCTGAATCCGGCTAAAATGACGATGCTCGGGCAAGCCATGGGGCCTTTCGTTTTTGGGCTGGGTTGCTAGCCGAGGAGCGGACTTGAGCCCTGGCCGTGGAGCCACCGTAGGTCCCTCCGTGTACTCATTCGTGTTTCGGATGGCTCTGATCTGGTCCAGCGACAAGACATGAACCTGCTGCGTCAGCGCATCCCGCAGGTCGGGCTCCCCGTGGGGTCTCCCACTGTCACGCCGAGCCTGTAGCAAGGCCTGCGACCCGCTGCCGTGCTGAGCTCTCGTCTCCATCAGTGCCCGGAAGCGTGCTCACCCCGGCAGGCTTAGAACACATCTGAAATCCTGGAGCAACAAAGAGAGGATTCACTATTGCAACATATCTCATGCTCTCCTCCAGCAGCCTTTCAAGCCTGCAGGAGCCCACAGCACTGCACACCACCGAGTAATGCATCAGCCATTAAAAAAAGGAGCCACGTCTGGGGCGGAGTGCGGGCGCCGTTCAGCTGAATGCACTTCCCTTGGCCTGTCCTGCCTCCTCCTGCGCAGAGCTTAAAGGGATTCTGTTCTAGGTCCATGCATCTTAACTCGTGGCTCTAGAAAGTCTAGACATTGCGCCTGCTAACTAAGGCTTCCCTTCCCGGGCCACCTTCTGGTTAGACCATGGCCTTTGAAGGGATTACGTTTCAGCCACTTAAAGTGACTCTTCTTTCTACATCAGGCAACTGCAAAACTTGCATTTAAAAAAAAAACCCCAAAACCTGCAAGTATTTAGCAAGTGTAATGTGACCTGCTGATGACAGACATATAATTCTCCAATTTTGTTTAAAACTGGATAATATTTTGGTAGGCTAGTCTCTCTACACATTAAACTTTACATGATGTAAATAGGAAATTTTAGTTTAATACCAACGGTCCCAAGAAAAACACTAAATAGCAATAAAATGTTTGAGGTTAGACATTAAATGAGTTAGTGCTACCAAAAACTTCAACAGCACAAGTAAAAATATCTCTCTCCAGTATTTTAGTGTGTGTCATACTTGTGTACGCCACTGCGATTGTTGTTTTAAGGCTCAATACTACAAAAGCAATGCTACCACGGTTCTATTTTTTTTAAAACGTGTAAAAAATTCCATAGACTACGTTTCAAATTGTAAATATTACCAAGAGTGGCTTGTGGGACAGAGGCATGCATGACATAATCAGACAATGCCAGCATCTAAGAAGTCTACTTGATTGCGAATACTACTTTAAAGGATCGTTAACTACAAAGTGGAAACGCAGACTTCAGAACTTAAATGGAAACTGTGTAAAAGACCCAGAAGATGAGAACTTGTAAATAACTAACTTCCACACTCAGATATTCAAGTTTGAAGTACTGCCCTCTAAATTCGTTAATATTTGTTTTGCCTTTATCTTAAATTGGTTCCAAAATCCAATTACTGCACAAAAATCCAGAACAATATTTCACAATTAAAACCCAAGCAGGAACCAAGCTTCTTACAAGGACCACACAATGTCTTCAATTATACCTAGAAAGAGCACCATAGTGTTACTCTGTACACATCAGTTACCAACAATAATACTATACCGCAGTATAATAAAATATAGCCAAACAGTTTAACAATGAGTATCTCAAGACACTGTCTTTATTCTAACAGCACTGGAAAACGTTTAACCTTTTAACTCCTGGCTCCCTCCACTCCAGTGCTTTTTCTTTAAAAAAAAAAGAAATCTAACTTTTAAGACTGACCACTTCTTTCACATATTGCCAAACCCTGGTTTTAGACACAGAGTGTATGTCACGGGGTGTGTGTCCCCCTCCAAAAAAAAAAAAAAGTCTGGCAAACTTATCTTCAATTATTGCTTATGTTTTCTTCAAATTAAAACCTTTGCCACATAAAAAGTTTTAACCAACAGCCTAAGTAGACATTTCCTCATCCGAAACTGTCCGGAGATTAAAAAAAAAAAAAAA